TTTCTTGGCGCTTTCATTTTCCTGTCCGTCTATAAATTCTTCTACTAATGAATCTAGGCTCTGAAAACGGTTAGTCTGATTTCAAGCCATCTTTCTAGAGAAAAATGCACCTAAGCTCTTAGAAATGTGCTATTTGTCAGTCAAGAGGAGCGGCGAGCAAGCGAGCAACACGGTTTTGTTCACCAGTAAAACTAATGATGTAGCCAATCAGAACGCCGATACGTCAGTTTTCACTGTTGAAAAAATCGTATGACCAAACAGCTGGCTTCTCTAGCGCGAAGAGACTATTTTAATCTCGATGCTTTTTGGCGCGTAAATCTCGGTATGTATATAATAATCACAATTATTAAATTAGATCATGGACTAAGAGTGAAGTAACTTTTCAAGTTTTTTTTCCGAGAGTAAAAACGTGCTCGTAAAACAACATGCATATTTCAGTGCTACAACACACGTTAATAACCCGCAGGGAGAGTTCACTATTAGTCGCAAGATCATTAATTTAACGTCCTACTTAGGCATGGTATGGCTGCCGATATAACTTCAATTAGTCTCTTGCTGGCGTATTTGTACTCATACCACACTAATCCAGTTCGAAAAAGCGATCAATTAGTTTGAAGAGGTGAAAAGAGTTTTTAAATAGCATTCTTTAAAATGCTCTGTTTAGAGCATTTTTCGGAGTTTCTGGGAAAAACGTTCCATAATCACAGAGTGCATGCTAAGCTACCGTGACCAGACAAATAGAGATATCAAAACAATTACACGTTTCGTGGAAAACCACTGTTCTTATCGAAGAGGCTGTGATTATGAATTAATCAAAATATTTTACCAATAAAGGACAACTGAGGGTTATTTCAGGATAAAGACAAGGACTGTATAATAATATGCCTATTGTCGTGAGCTGCAGCGCTTGCATTGATTAACCTAAGTTTGGTTTAATTCAAAAGTCGACATTTACACCGCTAATTTGATATTCAATTGCTAGACGCTCATTAAATCACTCGGGAACTCGTGTTCTGACCACTGTGTTAGGAGTGTCTATCGAATTTGTTTTAAAGCGTTCAAAACCCGAAAATCAACTGTCAAGTTGCTCAAACAGGAGCGGACAGGTTCGAACGCAATCTATTCCAGAGACAGTCTCTTCATGGTTCCACGCCAAAGAACGACGTTAACCTCAATTGAAAGGTACCAGAGTAGTTCGGAGGATAAAAAAATCTACCAATGAAAAGCTTTTGTTTGTCTACTTGAAGGTAATTGTCCATGGAAATGCTCGGTTTGAAGAGATTCGCAGTAGGACAAATCATTTTGATGAGGGCGTTATCTGCAATGAGGATGTTCTTAGATGAAAATTTTTTTTGAGCGATTTCCATCAATACCATCAGAAAGCTCAGGTTTTTTTACGAAAGGGTAAACGTTTGCATCATCAACATCGTTTTTAAGAGGTTTGCATGGGCATAAATGTCGGGTTTATTGGAAACGAAACTAAGGATTATTTGCTGTGTTAACCAGGCGGTTCAAACTGAGTCGTTTGTGAAACAGGTTCCCAAGAAAAGACAGAAATAAGACTGCGTTCGCAGCAGTTAAGAACAAGAACTATTGATTTCTTCGCCTTCTCATACATTCGCAGCTAAGGGCACAAATATCTTAAGTGTTTTCATGCTGGACCAGAATTTGATCGCTTACCTAGTTTATGAGCCCATTAGACACCATGGTATCCAGTGTAGTCCTACAATGTTCAAGAAATCGTACTACCATGTTATGAAATGAAACTGAACCGACTGCTTTGTTTGTTCCCAAAAAACAATTCTCCGAAAAATGAATTTCCGGGTAATAAAGAACAAATATTGTGTCTAACGCCAAGAGAACGCATTCTATTCGTTTCAATTCTTTCTGGATGCCGTGCGCTTCTAGGCTTTCGGCGCCATCATAGACTGACTGACGAACAATTGCCTTGATTTTATGCAAGAGCCTTGAATCCCGTTGGCTAAATGAGGTCCCGTGAGTTGGAACCGAATGGACTACAGTGACATACAAGGGAGAACAATGTAACTGTTCAATTTTGTTCTGCTCTTCAAAATTGACCATTGTCTTTGTATCAAGTCCTTTACCAACTCGTTGAGCTGTTAGACCCTATTGAAGTGTTCAATTTTGCCACTGGTTTGTGATACTTCCTGAGAGCACCCCACAAGGTGTTAATACAGAACGAACACACTTTACCAATCAATGATTACATAATTATGCGTTATTGACCGAGGTGAGGTCAAGATTGCTAGGTATTATGAGTTTTATTTTTTGCGCTTTTTATGCGCATTTCCGGTGATGCACCATAGATGTCAGAGTGAAAAGGGGTTGCCAAGAACCCATCTCAAAGTGAAGTACGGAAATGCATTATACAAGTCTTTGGCACTCATTTGGAAGTGTTTTCGTTCAGCAAAGTTAGATCAATATGCGAAAACCTAGGCTCTAGTGGATTGGCTGTAGAGCAAGCGTAACTGCAACACTATCTAGTAACTAAAAAACCTTTGAGTTACACTCGGCAAGTTTTCATTGCGGTACAAAAATTTGTTCTGGGGCATTTATCCCTTTTTTAGCGCGCCTTTGAAACAAAATATTTTAATCCAACCTGGCTGAGTGTCATTGATTGAGAGTAATTAACCTCAAGAAGTTCAACCAAATTTTAATTACATATGGCTCATCAAAACCTTGACATTTGGATGACCTGAAAGGGAGGGATAAAAATTCCGTTTTCACGAGTCAACAAATACTTTTTTAATTTTGAACTCATCAAAACCTTGCATAATGTTCACAATTCCACATCTTTCTTCACTTGCGTGGTTTTCATAGGTTTCTAAATTTGATTCATTTTCATCTATTTTTTTTAATGTGACTAGGGCCTCATCGTGGTATACTCGAAACATTTGCAAATCATTATGCAGGTATGTCAAATCACGTGTGTAAATAATTTTATTATGGAAATCCAAATTAGTAGCACGTAGAGAGACCAGAATTGCTGTAAACAAATGCCATGTAATGTCACTTGTTCATTGATATTGTGTTTTTTACGTTACCCCACATGTCAGTCATGTGAACTTTGCACGCATTATTCCGCGCTATATGCAAATCCGGCTCCTTAAGAGAGTGTCTCTGTAAGAGCGGTCCGGTCGATTTTGCTTGAGACACGGATTTCGCTCGTTTCTCGTGTGTTGTAAGACATTCATGTACCTATACTAAAACCACAATCAGTTTGATAGGATCTCTTTATTTTTCAGAGTTTTACGGAAATTAAATTTCACTCGAGCGAAGGCTTGTTGTGACACTTTTCAAGACTTCAATTTCACACAACTTTAGAGGACAATTTACAAAAAACTACGGAACTCAGCAAAAAACAAATACCACAGCCATGTATATTAACTCTATCTTATCTATCGAGGCGACTTTCGTAAACATCACGTGTCAATCAAGGAAACAGGAAGACTTGAATGACACCTTATCGGTTCGCCTAAATCAAACACGCCAAAACCGATCAAATTCAAGGTAAATTTTTGAAAAAGTGAGGCGTTCTTAACTGATCCAACTAACATAGCTAGGAAGTAGGTGCCATAGGAAAGATAACTACAGAAAAAAACTTTGCGGCCCGACCTTTACGAGAACTTTATAACTCCGTGAACTTACCTAATTTTCGGCAATCTCCAAGTTTGGCCGCCATTTTGAGGGACTTGTCAACATGAAGCGTAACCGATATAAATAGAGCAGGTTAATCTAAAACCGTCAGAAATACATACGAAAGCAATTCAAATGAACTTTTCTTTCAATTCAAGCGGCAAAATTTGAAATTGTTCGTTAAACTTACAATCCTCATGCGACCATTTCTTTCAACAATTCAAACACTACAACTAGTGTTCGAATTCCCCTCGTCGATTCCACCGCAAGAAATAACCTGTGCCACCCAAGCTTCGACTCGAATGTGAAGTACGAATCAAATAACATAACTGCTTCATCTTCGCGGCAATATCACGCTGGTATTTTGATTTTCCGATCGACAAGAACGGTGATCAGGAATAGATCGGTTTGTTTACCTAGTAAACGTGACCTCTGACCAGCCGCTAAGTGAAAATAGCATAGCGCGGGGTGGGGTGGTTGGCGGGCTTATCGTCATAAGATATTCGAATGCATGCTCAAAAAGCTTTAGGACTATCAGTCTAAACAGTGAAGGCATGCTTCGAGGTACAGACAATTTTTATTTTATTCTCATAACTTTCTCCTTTAAATTAGAACTGGTATTAATTAATAGAGTTATCAATATATTTTTAACCGGGGCACCCATATAACCTTTTTGCTTGTCATCAGTGGTATAAAATAAAATGTCTTTTCCACCAGAACCTTTTATTTATGCCCCATTGCACGGAATGAACACTATACTTAGAATGTTTGCTCTAAGTAATTTTTTCTGTTCCCAAGAATTTATGCAAAGTGATAGAGATTTGATTCATTCCGCTGACACGTTCTTTTAAGTTATGGCGCGTGCAGGTTTTTCTATCAAAAGTCGCGCGTGCAACACACCGGAATTGAAAATTCGTCGTAAAATCGCACGAACCTTAGAATGAGTTTAGGCAACTTTGACTTCTGGCGAGATTAAGAGGATGGTTCAAAGGACCCCTTGAGACTTTTTTCAGGACTATAACTGAGAATTGTTAATAACTATGATAATCGTCATCATTAGCGGACGGTGATTTTTGCCCATTGTTGTCATCATTATCGTTATCACGCCGGAAGAAGTATAAAGCCGGCATGTCGCCTTACCTAGCTACACAGAAAATTGTTCTCTCTTTTGCTCCCCTTGGATCCTGGAAACTGTTACTATTAAGACGATCAACAAGAAAGCCTTTTTAATTATTGAAACTTTTGATTAACAGAATGAAGGAAAAAATCGGTGGGGAGAGTTTTTCGCGTATCTTGTAATCTGAACGATAGTTTTAAATAAAACAAATAACAATTCATTCAATTTACCTTAGTTGTCTCGTGTTTAAAAGTGGCGTTTCTGGGGACCGTAGATTCTTCTCTGATTCTTCTTGTCTCAGCCAAGACTCACTATCATCAACTTTTTTCTTGTGCTTCTTACGGCATGGGACACAGTGAGCTGAGTAAGCAATTGCAAATTTCTCAGTTAAAGTAAAGCCCAGTAGCATCCATCAGGAATTAAAAACCGACATGCACTGTTTACTTTTATTATTCTTAATCAAATAAGGGGTGTTTTAGTCTGCAAATTTAATCATATCGGTTAATGAGAATCATACAAACTGAGGAAAACTGACCGCAAATAATTGTGAACCGTACGCATGAGTAAGTAGATTGCGTTGTCAGGTGATTTGATCTTCTACAAAAACATTATTGATTATCAACCGAGCAACTTTGTACATATTTCCATCAGTGATGAAAAGCACTTACACATAGATCTATTTTTTTTCAACGTGATGTGTACTTAAGTACCCTTCATCTAATAAAGAATTTCTTCTCTTTTCGAGCAGATATGTCACGTGACAAAAATAGATAACAGAAAATGTTACTGAAGACCACCTGATTCAACTGGAATAATAACTCCAAACAGCTTTTGAACGTCCTGAGACATATGCAAGGTAATTACATCTCTGCCTTGGATACGCTTCCTGACACCATCATGATCAGGGTACTGACGTGTTACCTTTGCACTTCTCCAAAACTTCCCCAGAGTGTAGCGATGCCTATAGCAAATCCACATTTTTTTGTTTATCCTCCTGAGCGAGGTGAAATAGGCCAATCCTTGCCAAGATTAGCTCATTTTCACTTAAAAACCTCTTTAGACAGGTGGCAGCTTATCAAATGATGTTTTACTTCGTCATTGCATTCAGACAGTCGTACCAAACCACTTAAGCCACACGATGAACCAAAGTTTTTTCCATCTTTGCTATTCAAAAAGCAGTCCTGAGACATAATGAACGTCTCGCTTGTGAACGACTTCTTCCTGTACTTGTAATTGTTTCCAACGCGATACAAGTTCGGGAGATCTAAAGGAACTCATTATAACTTTGTATATTCGATACGATTTCAATTTCCGCGTCAAAGGAGAAGCCTACTGTAATTCGTGAGTGGTCAGTGGTTACGCACGTGAGGTAAAGAATGGGTTTGTGACTTTCTCATTCAATTGAAAGACTCGCGTCACTCTTATAAAATGGTTGAACGGAATACAGACTTCGAGTAGTCTCTTATTTTTTCTTAAAGATAGTGAGGTCACGCGTATCCTGTGAGCATGGTGAATCTGCGAGACGCGAGACTCGTATCTCGCGTCTTCGCCGCTTCACGCTCTCAGAGTTGGGCAAAGACAAGACACGTTATTTCCGGTGCGATACAAGAGGTTCAATGGTTATCTCGGTTATCTAAACACATTTATTTACGTGGTAAAGATTTGTTTTTAAATCTAAACTGATGCTAGTCCTATTTGGAACGAAGTGTATTTGAAATAAAAAAAGAATACTAAGTAAAACAAAAGTTGTCTGCAACACGAAGTATGCCTTCGCATTAAGACTGGAATCCTAATGTTTATCGAATGTTCCCAAAAACCTTCTGATAATCTGCCCGCATCCACCCCTCACCCCGCTCCTCGCCACTGAACCGTACTGTTTTCACTCAGCAGCTGGTCAGCGGTCACGTTTACGAGGTAAACAAACCGATCGATTCTTGATCGCCGTTCTTGTCGATCGGAAAATCAAAATACCAGCGTGATATTGCCGCGAAGATGAAGCAGTTATGTTATTTGATTCGTACTTCACATTCGAGTCGAAGCTTGGGTGGCACAGGTTATTTCTTGCGGTGGAATCGACGAGGGGAATTCAGAAAGTTGTAGTGTTTGTATTGTTGGAATAAATGGTCGCATGGGGATGGTAAGTTTAACGTACAATTTCAAATTTTGCCGCTTGAATTGAAAGAAAAGTTCATTTGAATTGCTTTCTTATATATTTCTGACGGTTTTAGATTAACCTGCTTGATTTATATCGGTTACGCTTCATGTTGACAAGTCCCTCAAAATGGCGGCCAAACTTGGAGATTGCCGAAAATTAAGTAAGTTCACGGAGTTATAAAGTTCTCGTAAAGGTCGGGCCGCAAAGTTTTTTTTCTGTAGTTATCTTTTCTAGGGCACCTACTTCCTAGCTATGTTAGTTGGATCAGTTAAGAACGCCTCACTTTTTCAAAAATTTACCTTGAATTTGATCGGTTTTGGCGTGTTTGATTTAGGCGAACCGATAAGGTGTCATTCAAGTCTTCCTGTTTCCTTGATTGACACGTGATGTTTACGAAAGTCGCCTCGATAGATAAGATAGAGTTAATATACATGGCTGTGGTATTTTTTTTTTGCTGAGTTCCGTAGTTTTTGTAAATTGTCCTCTAAAGTTGTATGAAATTAAAGTCTTGAAAAGTGTCACAACAAGCCTTCGCTCGAGTGAAATTTAATTTCCGTAAAACTCTGAAAAATAAAGAGATCCGATCAAACTGATTGTGGTTTTAGTATAGGTACATGAATGTCTTACAACACACGAGAAACGAGCGAAATCCGTGTCTCAAGCAAAATCGACCGGACCGCTCTTACAAAGACACTCTCTTAAGACCGTTTGTTTGCTTTCGCTGTCATTTTGCCTCGATTCTTTGTTAGTTTGTTTTCCTCGTCGTAGCAGTTATGAGCTTCGTTTCTCGCGTCATTTTGCAGTGGTAAGTTTTGTTTCCCTTCTTTGCCTTCTTATCGTTCAGTATTTTCGCTTTTCCTTTGAGTGCTTGTGTTTCTTAGTGGATCGAGGACAATGCTTTGAAATGTAAAAAAGATATTTTCGTGCTTCGTATCTCGACGAAACATGCTTACACAACCAATTATTGATGATTTTAGATATATGAAATTCATATATTTGCACTGCGGTGAAGAGATGAAATTAAAAGATCCTCGCAGCTAAGAACACTACTGAAACGAGTAGTTGAAAATAGGACCTGAAAAAAATTCAGGCCCGTAAGGGATTTGAACCCATGACCTTTGCGATACCGGTGCAGCACTCTACCAACTGGGCTAACAAGCCAACTGGGAGCTCGTCAATATGTTGAGTCCAAATAAACCATCCAAGTTAGAAATGTTACTCAAGATTTTTTTTCTTATTAGGGCGACATTGCAAAAGGTAGCATAGTCAATCAGGCAGAAGATGCACTCGTTTATTTTTGTATAAAGTTAACCTTTGCTTTGT